GCACGAAACCAAAGTGAAGGAATGGCAAGATTCAAAAGAATTCACATTCAGACTAACGTCTTCTTTGATTAAATACGTACGGCAAGTCTACGCTACCGCCCACAAACTTGGGGGCTAATACAGAAAAACCAAGTATCAAACAGTAGGGCTGAAAAGTCGAACATTATTTCGACGGAAATGCGATCTGTGCGCCTGGACAAGGGCTGAGATGTTGGTGCGTATGCCAGGCCGCCTGCCTTTGTTACTCGTGATCCCGATGTGCTGTTGCCGCTGTCTTCATCCCGTGCACCGTGCAAGCCGCAGCTGTTTGAAGTACGTAAAAGACACTCGACTGCTGTGCAGAAACGTTAACATGTGGCCTGGCATCTGGACAACATCTCAGCCTCTTGCTCCTGGCACAAATATCACCTTTCCGTCGACGGTACATGAGATCTTATAGCCGCACCTTTACTTCCGTTTTTGCCAGGCGGTGGCAGAAAATCTGCAGCAAATGTTTGTTTGAAGTCGACCTCCACTGCATGGGAGCTCTTGCCACTTCCACCGCTTGTCTGCATGCAGCACCACATCCTGCTGCCCATAAACATGTGCACCTTGTGCGCAAGACACACGTGCAAACTCGGTACATGTGTTGACGTGCAGTGGGAAGTTAGTGCGTGAACGGCAAGCTGCGGGAATGGCAAGAGCTTGCATCCCGAGGAATTCAAGTTCAAATTAATTATTCTTGCTGCAGCTTTCCGCCGCCGTCCACCAACTTGGCTACGGAAAAACGACGTACAGGGTGGGGCTGTAAGATCGAATGTACTTCTATTTCGACGGGAGGAAAGGGCGAGAACTGTGCGCCTGGATAAGGGGCTGAGATGTTGGGTGTGGGTGCCAGGCCGCCCATCAACGGTGCTCGTGATCCCAACGTGCTGTTAGTGCTGCCTTCATCCCATGCACGTGGGAAGCCGCAGCTGTTTTACATTTCATCAAGGCATTCGATTGTTCAAATGCAGCCTGATGCCACCACACTCCCTGGGTTATTTTCCAAAGATGGACTACTCTGCAGCAAAGAAAGTGGCGTTGTTACCGAAAATGGTAGCGCTCCTTTTTTTTTCCTTCATATTTCCAAGTGTTTCGCCCAGTCGTTGCGACCAAAATGCTCTTCTTTCATGCGGGCGTATGCCTACCTTGATGCCTCCCCGCCCCCTTTTTGCCTTCGCAGGCGGAACTGAAGTACTCGATGGCGATGAAAGCAGGCGACGCTTCCTCCTGCGCTGCAATCCTGGAGGTGTTCGACGCCGCCATCCGCGCCAATCCCAGCAGCCCGGTGTTATACCTCAACAAGGCCTCCTGCCTGCTGCAGGTAAGGGGGTTCTCCGGATGGTGGTGGCGGTGATGTACTTGCTTTACGGTGTTCGGCTTTTGGTCATTTTTGATGGTGCTGGCCGTCGCTCAGGATTTCCGCACGTCGTATTCTTTTTTTTTTCTTTCTTAACATGACACAACGATTCCATCTCTATCCAAGAAAATAGTACCATAGATTAGCATTCTTTTTTTCTTTCTTTCTTAACATGACACAACGATTCCATCTCTATCCAAGAAAATAGTGGTACCATAGATTAGCAATGAACTCATAGCGTCAGCGGAGACTACCTGTGTTTCTACGTATTTTGCACATGTTTTTTGTACTTCGGCTACTAAACTTGTTGCTTTTGCGAACCGTACCCGCCAACCATTCGCTTGAAGATTTCGTCAAGTACTCGCAATGAAGCTTTTTTTTTCTTCGTTTTCTGGACATGACTGCTTCTTTCTTTCTTCTTTCTCTCTCTCGTCTGGGGTCTGAGTGGTGGGTGCCCGTTGTGGGTTTCTAATACACATCAATAGGTCCATCAGTTGTGCTCTTGGAAACCGTAAGTATGCCTGCTCTGATCTGTGGCACACCACACCCACCGTGCGTTAGTGCTGTTTCAGAACTTGAACGTGTAGCCGGTGCCAAACATCGGGAATGAGTGATGACTGCTGTGTCTACACAACACCTCCGCGCTTGGTATTCGACCATGCTCTCTCTGCACGAATACGGTCGCGCATTCAGCACACCGCGTGCGTGGGCCGTTACAACGCGGGCGTCTTTGCAACTGCTGCGCGCGCCCGTCGTCCACGTCTGCTGACTTGAATGCTTGCTGTGCCCCTCGCTCCAAAGATGATGAGCGATGTTGGTGGGGCCATGGAATTGCTCGAGAAGGGGGTCAGCGTCGACCCTACCAGCGTGGTAAGAGTGTGGCTGGCGAATATGAGAATGCTGGTGTGTCTCACAATTCCTGTAGACGTGCATTTGTTAACCTTTCGGTATGTTTTAGGGAGCACCAGCTGCAGTCACGCAGGGGTAAGATGGCACACATCTTTCTTGTTTTTTCTTGACAACCATCGCCCCAGTTGCCATAACTTGTTTTTTCTTTTATCC